TCCTTGCAGACAGCCAATTCTCTCACACCAGAAGTGACTTGCAGTTTCTCAAGCTGCTCCTGACATGGAAAAAAACGCATAACTGGATTATATTATACTAGCTGCCCTCCTGCCATGCGTTGCTGTGGCCCAGTCTGGTGATCTGGAATATAAAGTAATGAGAAAGTGTTGGTTTCTAATATATGTAACTTCTTTATGCTTGTGGGTAAACAGTTTTTTCTTGCTGTTTCTTTGTCAGTGTTGATGTTTGCCTACTCTAGAACACGCAATACATAATTGTCCTTCTTTAGGGGTCCCTTTCAAATCGATGATACTATATCTCTGTGTGTGAATCATATCTATCTATCTGTCTATCTATCTATCTATCTATGCCTGGATGGCTCTTTGTCAGGAGGGCTTTGATTACGTTTTCTTGCCCTGGTAAAGGGAGTTGGACTGGATGACCTTAAGTATTTTCTGTGGTCATGGGAGTTCTGTGTGGGAAGTTTGCCCCAATTCTGTCGTCGGTGGGGTTCAGAATGCTCTGATTGTAGGTGAACTATAAATCCCAGTAACTACAACTTGCAAATGTCAAGGTCTATTTCCCCCAGACTCCATCTGTGCTCATATTTGGGCATATTGAGTATTCGTGCCAAGTTTGGTCCAGATCCCTCATTGTTTGAGTCCACAGTGCTCTCTAGATGTAGGTGAACTACAACTCCCAAACACAAGGTCAATGCCCACCAAACCCTTCTAGTGTTTTCTGTTGGTCAGGGGAGTCCTGTGTGCCAAGTTTGGTTCAATTCCATCATTGGTGGAGTTCAGAATGCTCTTTGATTATAGGTGAACTATAAATCCCAGCAACTACAACTCCCAAATGACAAAATCATAATTTTTTGAGTGATGGTCACTCCTTGTGTTGTGAGACATTTTGTTGCCAAATTTGGTGTGATTTTGTTCATTGGTTCTTTTGTTTTTAAGGAACTCATTACGCACAGAGCATTTGTATATAGATAGATTTATTTATTTACGGTATTTATATTCTGCCCTTCTCACCCTGAAAGGGACTCAGGGTGGGTCACAGAACACAAATATGGGAAACATTCAATGCTGATTATACAATGATAAGACAGACAACATAGATAGAGGTATGTATAGGCTTTTCCCTATCTTTCAGCATCTTTGGAGGCGGTGCTCGGTTCCAGCCACAGGGGGGTGCTGTTGCTCCATCCCTTTGCCAAAGAGCTTTTTTTGTTTGTAAACTTCCTCCTTTTTCTGATTGAAACACCATGCCTGATACCTCCCCACTTTTTTATGCAGTTCTTATTTATCTACTCACATTTGTTTTCAAACTGCTAGGTAGGCAGAAGCTGGATTAAAGGTCAAGCACTCACCCTGACCTGGGCTTTGAACTGCCAACATTCTGGTTGTTAAGATTTATTGCAGTTTGGTGATTAACCTGCTGTGTTAAAGTGAGTATAGAATCATAGAATCATAGAATCAAAGAGTTGGAAGAGACCTCATGGGCCATCCAGTCCAACCTCCTGCCAAGAAGCAGGAATATTGCATTCAAATCACCCCTGACAGATGGCCATCCAGCCTCTGTATAAAAGCTTCCAAAGAAGGAGCCTCCACCACACTCCGGGGCAGAGAGTTCCACTGCTGAACAGCTCTCACAGTCAGGAAGTTCTTCCTCATGTTCAGATGGAATCTCCTCTCTTGTAGTTTGAAGCCATTATTCTGCGTCCTAGTCTCCAAGGAAGCAGAAAACATAGCTAAAGGTTTTCCCTGACATTAAGTCCAGTCGTGTCTGACTTTGGGGGTTGGTGCTCATCTCCATTTCTAAGGCAAAGAGCTGGCATTGTCCATAGACACCTCCAAGGTCATGTGGCCGGCATGACTGCATGGAGCACCGTTACCTTCCCACCGGAGCGGTACTTATTGATCTACTTACATTTGCATGTTTTTAGGCTGCTAGGTTGGCAGAAGCTGGGGCTAACAGCAGGAGCTCACACTGCTCCCCAGATTCGAACCTGCGACCTTTCAGTCAACAAGTTCAGCAGCTTAGTAGTTTAACCCACTTCACAACCGGGGCTCTGATATGAGTATACACTGCCATATAATCCAGTTCAAAGCAGATAATCTGGAGTTTACAAGACAATGTAGAAGAGGCCTCACTAACCATTAATGAACAGATCATTCTTTCCTGTCTCTGCTTCATTTCCTAACACTAATGCACAGAACCAATATGTCTGTAGTGACTTGGGTTATAACCCCAAGCGCACTTACCTGGGGGTTGTTTCCTCTGAATTTTGTATGATTTAATTTCTGCACAATATTAATTGCATGATGTGTCTGAGAACTTTCCCCCCCCCATTTCATACAAAAGCAGAGAAATTGATGTATAATCCCTGCAATGCGAAGTCAGGCTGCACGCTCCTTGTGCCTTACACCTTCTCTGCTTTATTAATGGACACAGAAGCTAAACAGACCTCAATAAAGTCATAGTTTAGAAACCATACCGATTAAATATATATGGTAATGACTCCCAGTGTAATGCACACCTATGAAATTGCATTAGCAAATTGATTGTTGCTTCTAATACAGGATCTGAGTTATTCTTTAATGGAATCTGGGATCTATTATGACTAAGCAGTGTTAATTCCGAGGAGCATTTCCCAGACCCCTGATTCATTATTCATGCACTTCTTCTCCTTCCACTCAAAACTCCCTGAAGGTATAGAGCTTTTATTTAATTTTTTTTATTTCAGAAAACCAGCCCTTGATAGTACTTTCTTATCACAAATCCTGCATCAGCATTAAAGTTGCTACTATTAAGAGAAGTTTTTGCTGAGTGTTGAGAGCCATTTAAATTGCAGCAACTTTGGAAATATGCACCGGTTAGCTTTTCTAACTGATACAAATACTCTGTTATACATTAAATTTAAATTAACAGCACAGACCAATGAGCTCTTTTTAAAAAAAGATCTCAAGTGATATGAGTTGGGAGGTTTGAACTCCCACCATGAAATAAAGAGTCCAGACACAAGAAAATGGATTGAAATGGTCATTTTCTGATCTATTTATTGAAGGAACTCATGTTGTTGTTGTTGTTCATTTGTTCAGTCGTCTCCGACTCTTCGTGACCTCATGGACCAGTCCATGCCAGAGCTCCCTGTCGGCTGTCACCACCCCCAGCTCCTTCAAGGTCAGTCCAGTCACTTCAAGGATGCCATCCATCCATCTTGCCCTTGGTCGGCCCCTCTTCCTTTTGCCTTCCACTTTCCCCAGCATCATTGTTTTCTCTAGGCTTTGCTGTCTCCTCATGATGTGGCCAAAGTACTTCTCTAGTATCCTTCTCTCCAATGAGCAGCGGGCTTTATTTCCTGGAGGATGGACTGGTTGGATCTTCTCGCAGTCCAAGGCACTCTCAGAACTTTCCTCCAACACCACAGCTCAAAAGCACCTCTCTTCCTTCGCTCAGCCTTCCCTAAGGTCCAGCTCTCACATCCGTAGGTGACTACAGGGAATACCATGGCTTTGACTAGGCGGATCTTTGTTGCCAGTCTGATGTCTCTACTCTTTACTATTTTATCGAGACTGGACATTGCTCTCCTCCCAAGAAGTAGGAGTTCCCAAGAAGGAACTCATAATAACCTGTAAAGCAGTGTTTCTCAACCTGGGGGTTGGGACCCCTGGGGGGGTCATGAGGGGGTGTCAGAGGGGTCGCCAAAGACCATCAGAAAGCACAGTATTTTCTGTTGGTCATGGGGGTTGTGTGTGGAATGTTTGGGCCAATTCTATCGTTGGTGAGGTTCAGAATGCTCTTTGATTGTAGGTGAACTATAAATCCCAGCAACTACAACTACCAAATGTCAAGGTCTATTTCCCCCAATCTCCACCACCGTTCACATTTGGGCATATTGAGTATTCATGCTAAGTTTGGTCCAGATCCATCATTGTTTGAGTCCACAGTCCTCTCTGGGTGTAGGTGAACTACAACTCCAAAACTCAAGGTCAATGCCCACCAAACCCTTCCAGTCTTTTCTCTTGGTCGTGGGAGTTCTGTGTGCCAAGTTTGGTTCAATTCCATTGTTGGTGGAGTTCAGAATGCTCTTTGATTGTAGGTGAACCCTAATATATTCCAGCAACTACAACTCCCAAATGATAAAATCAATCTCCCTCAACCCCACCAGTATTCAAATTGGGGTGTATTGGGTATTTGTGCCAAATTTGGTCCAGTGAATGAAAATACATCCTGCATATCAGATATTTACATTACGATTCATAACAGTAGCAAAATTACAGTTATGAAGTAGCAATGAAAATATTATGGTTGGGGGTCACCACAACATGAGGAACTGTATTAAGGGGTCATGGCATTAGGAAGGTTGAGAAACACTACTGTAAAGCAATGGTTCCCAACCTTTTTTTGACCAGGGACCACTTTGACCAGGGGCCACTCTCCAACATTAGTACCAAAAGAGTTACGAATCAGTTTTTGGTCAACTTTAGATTTGGTTTGGGGTGCTGATTCAGAAAATTGCATTGGATAGACCACATGAGTTCTAGTTTCTGATACTGAACATATTCTGCAGCTCAGCGGTTTAACCCGCTGCACCACCATGGCCCCTTCCCTGACAAAGACTAAAAAGTAGTATTACATTATAATAAACACAGTAATGAATGAGAGCAAGATATGTCAGCTTGCTATGGGAACACACTAAAATATTGTTTGTTTGCCTTCCACATCCTTAATAAGTCAGGAAACATAGACAATTGTCAGCTGCTTTTCACCTGTATAAGGAAATAAGTGCACAAAGGCACTATAAAACACATTGACTGACTGAATGACATCTTCTGGAGTGATTATACACAGATGGATATAAATACGCTTGGAACAAGAAGGGATGGATCATTCACTGATCGTAACACTTGAGCCCTCTTCTCCTAGCGAGGCAGCTGCATCTGAGGGATATATTGCTCGCTGTCCTTGTACCTCTATTATCTCTTCCTTTCAGAGAAAGAGTCAGATGACAGAGCCCTCAGCAGAAGCACCTGCGTTCTTTGCTCATTGGGGCGGTCTTCTGTTGGATGCTTGCGTCATGGGCTCTTGTGAAATTTGAAGACAAAGGTGCACGCCATCTGCATCCTCCATTATGAAGGAAAGCAGATCTCTCCATGACCCGCAGAGCTGGGATCAAATCCATCCCATGCCTGCTGATCAAGGAGGCTTCCGATTTCTTTGTGGCTTTTGAGAAACATCACTTATGGAACCAGATTTGGATGATCACGAAATAATAACCGGTTAAGGTTGAGTCACTCACCACAGGGAGACTGCTGAAAGCAGCCTTCTTGTGGGGTGTGATCTTGGTTTACCATTAAGACCAAAGTAGAGTATGATTTCCTTTGGGGTTAAGAGCTGCTAAGGCTGAAATAATGATGAGCTCCTTTTGCCGTGGGTAGGATTGTTCAATCTAAGATTGGGGGATATTCTGCTAAATTCATAATATCTTTATCTACTTCCATCGATGAGCTTCTTCTAGGGCTGAGCATTTAACAAGTCACAAAAATGGTAACCAATTGATTTTTCAAAGGTTCCCAGATCAATGACAGGTAAATACCATTTGTCCAGTTGTATGATGGATCTTTGCATGGTGGATATTCACATCTAGTAATACCAAACAATTGCCTGTCCCTACACACAAAATGCTCAACAGCTTGCAAACAACATTTTTGAGGCAGTCTTGTTGGCAGAGAATTGTTCTTGCCCCATGGCAAGAATGTCAACAAATGCTCCAGCACATGATTGATTATCTACAGAAATGACAGCATATGTATTTATTTGCTGACAGAATAGAATTGATGACCAGCATCCTGAAAGGATTGTTTTGAATTAAGTTGGCTGTCAAGAGGTAATGTGGCCAAGGGAATATCTCAGAGAGCTTCTCATTAAGTCATAGTAAGAATCACCTCCAAGGATGACGCATCAAGCAGGTACTAAGGATCCAGTTGCGGTAAGGTAAAAGAGAAACAGTCCTACAGAGGATGCCTTTATGAAGACATTCTTTATGGGTGTTTCCCTCATTCCTGCCTTGCTTTTGTTCCTTTGAATCAAGCAGTGGGTCCAGCCAGATGGTTTTCAATGTTATTCTTCAACTCAATTATGCATTTTTTTGGCTTGGGGCCTGAAATTTGAATTGATTCCCACTTTCCTCTCTTTGTCTCCTACAAAATTGGTGCTTGGGGAAATTACTATTTGGACTACAATTCCTAGAATCTGAGTCCTGGCCATCCAGGCTGATAGATTTTGGAAGTTGTAGACCAATAAAATATCCTTAAGTTCTGCACATAGCCTACTGCTTACCCCAGCAGAGAATTATTCGTCCTAGTTAGTGTGGAACTCAAACATTGGGTGACCATATTAATGAATATTCCTTTGGTTCTTTCAAAATGTTTGCCACATGACCCCTTATTGATACCATCATGGAGGGAAGACCTTCCATGAAGAACAAAATGTTACTCGAGCTGTAGGTAGTGAAGAAACCAGACATGAGAAGATGTGTTAATGAATGGATTTTTAAAATTGATCAACTGTTCCCTCTGGAATTAACCAACTGAAAGAGGGGATAGTAAATCTATCAAAGGTTTTTCCATTCATCTACATCATTTTAGGAACGGAAGGTCAAGAATCCAAGATAGTGTGCATACCCAATAACCCGCTGATGCTCAGTGGGAAGCCTGTTGTGTTTGAAGGTCTTGAACAGAACCCTTGGTTGGGTTATGTTGAGTAGCATTATGGCAAACTATCTTTGTATTTTATTAAAACTGAAATTTAAGAACAGGTGTACAAGATGGACAGTATCACTGACCCCATGTCCGATGGGTGGGAACCAGATGTTGCTGGACTGCAACTTCCAACATCTCCGCCAAAGTGAGAAATGCTTGGAGTCCAAGAACATGTGGAGGCCACACAATTCCTGTAGAAAGTCCTGATGTAGAAGGATAAAGTGCTGGGATGCTTCTCTTTATTAAAAAAAATATCAACCATTCAACTGCTCCTGAATACAAAATGCTTTGGGCACTTACATCTACCTCTCCCTTGGATACAAAATATCATAACCATGGGAATGAAAAATCTTTCAGAGTCCTCTTCTGTATGAGGAGAACATATACCCTTTTCTTCACTGTTTTGCTAACCTAAATATCTATTGTGTTCTTAAATGAGACTTTCTACTCCATTGTATTCACTTGGACTCCCTAATGACATGAACATGCAGCATTTTGTTCCCCTTTCTACATTTTAATTGGGTTGTATTGATTTGTTTTTAATGAAAACATCACAGTTTAAAGCTGACTGTCACTCACGACTTAACCAAAATGTAGTAAATTGCATGAAAATGGTGTGTGTTTGGATAAAAATGGATATACATGTTGTTAGTGCACCATGGAGTTACTTAAGGCTGTTAATAATTAAGCTGAAATATTATAAGCCAACTTGCCACAAATCAATAACTTTCTATTTTTGTTGGAAAAGAACAAACAATCCAAGAGGATTCATGTTGGGAACATTGGGGGCTATTTGTTCAATAGGATTCATTAAATGTGGAATATATAAACATAGCTATATCAATATATATGCCAATTTGCAACCTGATGCCATTTCATGATTACAAGGAATCCCATAATCTGTTTCTTTATTTCAGATTCCTATAAAACAGTCTCTCTAAATGCACAGATTTGTCTTTCAGTATACACTGACTGTTCTGCCTGGATTTTAATAAGCCTCCTGATGTTTGATCAGTAATAGCAGATAACTTAACTTTTATTTGCTAACCAGATGGCTTGACAAAAATGAGGACGATGGCCAGATTATTCGAGAGTTAGTTCCAGCTGGGAGATCATCTCTCCTGGAAAGTGAGTTTGCTTGGTTGACACATGGTGCTTTGAGCCAAGCTGTTCTGTTTTTTTAATAAATTCTTAGGAAAGATACATAACATTAACCAATACCTTCTGTCAATCCGTAGTGGGCTATTTGTTCTTCCATATTGAGATACATTTCTCCTGTTGAGTCTTTACTTGCCACAAAGCTTTCTCATTATCTTCACTCAAATTCCTTGAAATGCTAATATATTTTCTCTCTCTCTGTCAAGTATGTTAACATGGCTCCTATTCAGTTCTTGTGGGTTTTTTCGGGCTATATGGCCATGTTCTAGAGGCATTTCTCCTGATGTTTCGCCTGCATCTATGGCAAGCATCCTCAGACTACACAGGGAAGCCATTGAAATCCACAAACATGTGGACAATTTCAACAGAAAGGAAGAAACCATGAAAATGAACAAAATCTGGCTACCAGTATTAAAAAATTCTAAAATTGCAACAGCAAAAAACAGCAGAGAGAAAAACAGGCAGGGACATCTAATCACCTTTCAAGAAGAGTTTGCTCCAGGCACAGTCAGCCCATTGTATGCTAATCAAGGTGGTCAGTTGAAAGATTCACACCTAGCCCAACTTACAAAAGCCCTTTGTCTCACCCTGGTCATTCCACAGATATATAAACCCCTTTTTTCCCAGTTCCAGCAGACCTCACCTCTGAGGATGTTTGCCATAGATGCAGACGATACGTCAGGAGAATGCCTCTAGAACATGGCCATATAGCCCGAAAAAACCCACAAGAACTGAGTGATTCCAGCCATGAAAGCCTTTGACAATACATGGCTCCTATTCTTATGGCACAAGCAGGGAAAATGTGGCTGTAAATCCAGTGGAGTCAGTGGGTTGGGGACTATAAAGACAAGTGGGAGAGGGCTACATAAGTGGGATTTTTCCAACTCCTGTTGTGGTGTAATGATTAATGAATTGTGGTCCCTAATGTATAGGGTAACTGCCTTGGTCCATCTTTCCATCTTGTTCTTAACACACCTTTCTGCTTTGTATGTGGTTTCCTAACTTCTTCTATGTTTCCTCCTGTCTTCTGCTTTGATCATTCTAAAAAAAGAGTGGAGTGAGGGTTTTTTTGCCTCAGTTGTTGTGTTCCTTGTGTACAAATGTCAATGTCTCCGTAGACGTTGGTTACCACATCAGCATCAAGACAGGAGATGTCCCTGGTGCCAGTTCAGATTCAAGGGTTTTCATCAAGCTGTACGGTGAAAAGGCGGACACCAAAAAGGAGTTCCTCTTGGTTTCGGACAACGACTTAGGAGATAACTTTGAACGCGGCCGGATAGACATCTTTTCTCTTGATACCATGGACATTGGCAAGGTAAGGAAGAACATCAGGTGCAATGTTTATCCAGAGATTTGGTGATGAGGGCCAGTTTGGGAGCACTGAAAATAGTTTTTTCCCTAACAAGTCATTGCTTCTCACAACATATGGCTTCACTTGCTTTCCAGATTGAACTCTGCAATGTGGGGAGAAACACTATAGTTAGTGGTTTACAAAAGCTATCGTAGCCTTTACCCTGGGTCCGTAAAGGATTTTGTCTAGTCCCCAAAGGTGACTTCTGTCTGGAACCCTGTTTTTAATACATATAGATTATATCCATTCCCATCTCCTTTTTAAAATGTTATGAATTGGTACATGAGCTTCATTTTTCCTTCTTCCTCCCCATCCCTCTTTTGTTCTGTTTCATGAATTTTAGGTTCTAAGGAAGGGAATGAGCACAAATATACTGAGAATATTTGTAAGTCAGAACCCTTCCAGATTAAAGAGCAAGCCAGAAATAATGATTTAAAGAAAGTATTGAAAATATAGTAAGATTCCTTCTGCTTTAAGGTGCATCTACACTGTAGAATTAATGCAGTTGGGCAGCACAGTAATTCCCTCAATGCTATGGAATCATGGGAGTTGTAAATTGGAGAGGGACCAGCAGAGAAGGCTAAAGACCTATTGAAACCCCAACACTCAGGATTTTATAGCACTCAACTATGACAGTTAAAGTGGTGGGCAACTGCATTAATTCTACAGTTTAGATCAGTGGCTCTCAACTTTCCTAATGCTGTGACCCCTTAATACAGTTCCACATGTTGTGGTGACCCCCAACCAAAACATTATTTTCATTGCTACATAGTAACTGTACTTTTGCTACTGTTCTGAATCGCCATGTAAATATCTGATATGCAGAATGTATTTTCATTCACTGGACCAAATTTGACACAAATGTGCAGTACGCCCAAATTTGAATACTGGTGTATTGATTTTGTGATTTGGGAGTTGTAGTTGCTGGGATTTATAGTTAACCTATAATCAAAGAGCATTCTGAACTCCACCAGTGACGGAATTGAACCAAACTTGACACACAGAACTCCATGACCAACAGAAAATACTGGAAGGGTTTGGTGGGCATTGACCTTGAGTTTTGGAGTTGTAGTTCACACCAGAGAGCACTGTGGATTCAAGCAATGATGGATCTGGAGCAAACTTAGCACGGATACTCAATATGCCCAAATGTGAATAGTGGTGGAATTTGGGGGAACTAGACATTGACATTTGGGAGTTGCAGTTGCTGGGATTTATAGTTCACCTACAATCAAAGAGCATTCTAAACCCCACCAATGATAGAATTGGGCCAAACTTCCCACACAGAACCTCCATGATCAACAGAAAATACTGTGTTTTCTGATGGTCTTTGGCGACCCTCTGAAACTCCCCAGATACCCCCCCCCAGGGGTCCCGACCCCCAGGTTGAGAAACGCTGGCTTAGATGCACCCTCAGGAACAACTCTAACCATCTTCCATCTCCAGTCTGCCTGCCAGTATTTTGAACCTGACTTGTATTTCTTCCCTTTTTCTCCCAATTTCCCTCCCCTTTGCTTTCCAAAGATCAAACGGCTCTTGATCGGACATGATAATATCGGGTTCAATTGTGGCTGGCACCTTGGCTCTGTTCAGATTATCATCCCTGTCCATGGCAAAGTGTACAACTTCCCATGCAACCGGTGGCTTGACAAAAACGAATATGATGGAAGAGTTGAGATCGAGGTCTACCCGAGCGAGATCATTCCTATCGAGAGATGTAAGGACTCCCGTCTGTTTTTAGGGAGTGCTTGTGGGACTGACATGAAAGAGCGGCTGTTCATTTTGCATGTTTGGAATCAGAGGGTTTATCTACACCACATCCTTATAGTAATTTAATACCATTTAACTGCCATGGGGTGCATCTATACTGTAGAATTAATGCACTTTGACAGCACTATAATTGCCATGGAGACATGGAATTTTTAGTTTTACAAGGTCTTTAGTCCTCTCTGCCAAAGAGTGCTGGGCCCTCACCAAACAACAACTCCCAGGATTATGCCATGGCTTTGTGCCATAGCAGTTAAACTGGTATCAAACTACATGAATTCTATAGTATAGGGTGATTGCATCCTATGGGGAATTTTGGCCTTTGTAGTTTGAAGGTAATGTACTTAGAGATCTCTTCGAAGTCTAATCCATTCTGCAGAACTTCAGTATTAGAAGTCTCTTGCACAGGAATACCACAGCCACACTATATATCCCAGGATTCCTAGGATGATGCTATGACAATGAAAATGATCTCAAACTACCATAACATTGTGTCGTATATGCATTTAGAGAAACATAATCCTGCAACTTATTTTTGAAAACAAGCAAACCATTTACAACACAATAAAAGTTGTTATCATCATCATCATAATCATCATCACCAACATCATCCAACAGAAACAATGTAAAACACATTGTACTCAATTCCTAAAAGTATAGTAGGCAGAATTTTGAAACAAATTTTTCAAGAGATAGATTCACATACTCAATGAGCCATGAAACTCACTGGAAAGATAGAACCTTATAGAAACTGACAGTCATTCTCTCTTAAGCAAACCTGCCTTGCAGGATTGTGGTGAGAGTGAATCAGGACAGAGATGATTATTGTTGTTGTTGTTGTTGCTATTGTTATAGTGCTCCATGTACTTATGCTGGCCACATGACCTTGGAGGTGTCTACGGACAATGCCGGCTCTTCGGCTTAGAAAGGGAAATGAGCACCAACCCACAGAGTTGGACACAACTGGACTTAATGTCAGGGGAAAACCTTTACCTTAGTCTACCTTTAGCTCTCTCAAAGAAGATTCAAAATGGCTTAACATAAAAGCATTGTCATGCCATTTAAAATATGCAAAGGACCTTAAGATCATCTGGAGAGGCCCTGCTCTCAGTCCCACCATCATCACAAGCAGGACTGGCGGGGACGAGAGACAGGACCTTCTCAGTGGTTGCCCCTTGGCTATGGAACGCCCTTCCTATGGAGATTAGATTGGCTTCTTCGCTTTTAGCATTTCGGAAAAAACTCAAGACATGGCTATTCAAGCAGGCATTTGCGAATACTGAGTAACGGACATAAGAACAGAATCAACTACAAGATGGATTGGACATTGTTTTAATGAGTATTTATTTAATTATGTTTTATTACAGCTGTTATGATTTTATTGATGTTAAAGTTTTTATATTGTAACTGTGTTTTGGGTGGTATTGAATTTTGCCTTGTAAACCACCTCGAGTCGCCGGAAGGCTGAGAGGGGTGGTATACAAAAACTGTAAATAATAAATAAATAAATAAATAAATAAATAAATAATTTTTCCCCCTGACATTAAGTCTAGTCATGTCTGGCTCTGCTGGTTGGTGTTCGTCTCCATTTTTAAGCCAAAGAGCCAGCGTTGTCTGTAGACGCCTCTAAGGTCATGTGCTAGCATAACTGCATGGAGCACCATTACCTTCTTGCTGGAGCAGTACCTATTGATCTACTCACATTTGCAAGTTTTTGAACTGCTAGGTTGGTAGAGGTAAAAGGTAAAGGTTGTCCCCTGACATTAAGTCCAGTCATGTCTGACTCTGCGGTGTGGTGCTCATCTCCATTTCTAAGCCGGTATTGTCCATAGACACCTCCAAGGTCATGTGGCCAGCATGACTGCATGGAGTGCCATTACCTTCCACCAGAGCGGTACCTATTGATCTACTCACATTTGCATGTTTTCGAACTGCTAGGTTGGCAGAAGCTAGGGCTGACAGCGGAAGCTCACACTGCTCCCCGGAATTGAACCTGCGATCTTTCAGTCAACAAGCTAAGCAGCTCAGCGCTTTAACCCACTGTGCCACTGGGGGCTCCGCAGGAGCTCACCCTGCTCCCCGGATTCGAACGGCCAAACTTTCAGTCAGCAAGTTCAGCAGCTCAGTGGTTTAACCCACTGTGCTACCAGTGGCTCCAAAATATATAAATATGGAAACATTAAAACTGATTTAAATATAAACAGTATTAAGAAATTCACAGTTAAAATCCATTAAACCATATTAAAAGTTTAAAACCATGTGTATCCCTGAACTGATTGGAAAGAAAGTGGGCTATAAATCAAACAAATAAATGATCCAGTTATTTAAGTGCCTTTGGGTATTTTCTCAGCCAGAATGTGTTCTTTGGAGGGTTTCAGTGCTCTAATAAGAATCTAGTTTCTTTGTCTGCCTTTGTAGACTTGATCCTTGATAGGAGTCCTTTGGATTGTCTAATGGGCTGCCACCTAGTTTCCAAATGCCCTCAAATAACCTCAAGGATGAGTTCTTGCTGTCACTTACCTATAAATAATTTCTGGTTTACGGTTACCATAAAGTGAACCTATTATGGGGTTTTCTTGGTGGTATTCGTATCAGAGGGAATTCCCCTGCCTTCCGCTGATACTGAGAAGTGTCACTTGCCATTGGCTGAACCCTGATCTCTTAGTGTTCTGGTCGAAGACCCAAGCTATTACACCAGGCATGGGCAAACTTCAGCCCTCTAGGTGTTTTGAACTTCCGCAATTCCAGCAGGTTGTTAGGAATTGTGGGAGTTGAAGTCCAAAACACTCGGAGGACCAAAGTTTGCTCATGCCTGTATTACACCATAGTAGCTCTTCTCAATGGAGGTTAGGGACATTTTCAGTATTTGGAAATATGCTGACGTCACCTGAAAGAGAGGACAAAACTGTGGCAAAATGCCTGTCTTTCCTGAAAGAGAATCAGAGCATTTGGGAGCAAAGAAAAAAATCTGGGAAAATACATTTTTTTGTAGGAGCCACAAAAGTTGTGATAGGGACCACATATGTCCCATGAGTTGTATTTTACCTTGCTGTAAAGGCATCTCATCACTCAGAGGCTTTGCCTGTCATCTTTCTTCTCCTGCCATAAAAGGTCTAGCTATGCAAATCTCAATTTTTGGGGGTTTACGTTTGCCCCCAGGTCTGGCCCTGCCATTGGTGGACAGCAGTCATTGCCTCCCAGATGTTCCTCTTGAACTTCATAGGATCAGGGAGTTGGATGGGATCCCAAGGGCCATCTCTTCCAGTGTACACATCTACAGCTAAAGCATTTCTGAGAATGAACCACTGAACCATTGTTTCAAATCCTCAAATGAAAGAAGAGTCTACCACTTTCTAAAGCAGTCAGTGTTGCTATGAAATAACTTCGACAGGAAGTTCTCCTTGATGTTTAGTCAAAGATCTCCTTTCTTGTAATTTGAAGCTTCCTTTGTTTGATCTGAGTATGAAAGGATAAAGGAGCATTTTGCTCGAGTGTGCATGGAATGTAATTGAAGGGTGGTGTACAATACTTATGATATGATTTAAAAAAACCAATTTAATTCTCATTGTAGGATTTTATATCCCTGGTCGAGGACTTTTATGAGTGTTGTGAACAATTTCCCTACCATAACCCTCATTCCCTCTCCTCCTTCTCTTTTAAACACAGTGATAAATTATGAGGTGTGTGTAGCGACGGGAGATATACGGAATGCGGGCACCAATGCCAACGTCTTCATGCAGATTTATGGGGAGCTGGGCAAGACGGAGCTTCTGATTCTCAAGAACAGATCAAACAACTATGAGAGGGGGGCATCAGAGACCTTCAGGGTATGTGCAACCATGGAAGAATTGTGCTGAATGAAATTAAGTTGGCCACACATTTAGTTTCCGTACAGAACTGCCCTAGATGTTCATGTGTACATCAACTTCGTGTATAAATCAAGGGCAGATTTTGGGGCCAAAATTGTGAATTTTGGCATGACCTGTGAATATGTTGAGGCTCATTCCATGAAGAGGGGAAAGCACTGATAATATATCGTGAGGTCACAGCAGCCATATCCTCTTCTAGGTACTCAAAATGGCCATGATTGAGAGAATAGATGGGTTGGTGCTTCTTTTAGGTTCTCCTGGAATGGACTAAGCTCTTGCTTTTCTATTCAGACAAAAAGATGCCTCCCTTTTTGATAAGAGGAAAGGTACTTATCTACATTGAACCACAGATATGTGAACACAAGTTTGAGGGGTTGATTTTTGGACTAAAATGTCTAACAACAACAACAACAACAACAACAACAACAACAACAACAACAACAACAACAACTTTATTTACATTCTTCCCTATCTCCCTGAAGGGACTCAGGGTGGAATTCAATCACAAAAAGGCAAACATTCAATGCCTGAATACAACAATCAATGCATACATAATAAGAAAAAATAATATCCCAGCATATAAGAACAAATTATAACATAACATCTAAAATCAAGGTACAAATAATGAGTATATGGAGTCTATGCCTTTTCCAGAAATGATGGATGGCATATTGCCCTAAAGCCAGGGTTGGGGACTTTTCGGTTCTCAGATATTGATGGATGATCACTTCCATGATGCCTCATCATTGTCCCAGTTTGCCAATGGACTGTTTGAATGTGGAAGCAGGCCTGTGGAGCTGGTGTGCCAGAGATTTGACTCTGATTTCTCCATTTTTCTTCTGACTCTGATTCCTTCTTGGCATCACCACATTTTTCTTCAACTCACTCCTGTGTCGCACACTGACATACAGATGTCTTCACTCAGGAGTTATAGTGACACACTTAAATACAACTGGTTTCACTGAGAAGCTCCTATGATGTTGTGAGTTTACTGTCAATCAAAATTACAAGTATTTCCCCCCAAAAAAAAGTATACAAAAAGTTTTTAAATGATACAGTTAGCAATTTTTTTTGCTAAAATAGTGTAAGCCAAAGTCAAAGTTTATCCGTTTCTATTAACTCTGACTCCGTTACTATTTGCAGCAGGAATTCAGCCATATCTGGAAAACTAGTGCTTTTCTGTTTAGGGAGGGAAAGAATAATTTTTTTCTTATTCCAAAGACGGTTGAAAAGCATGTCTTTTGAGTGCCAAATACTGATTAAAATAATCCTAGATTAGGGAGAATTTTTGTAGTTATTCTTTGCAAAATTTGCACATGGTTGTTTTGTGCAGAAAATAGCATTTATGCACAAGAAGCAACATTTTATGTATGAAAGATAATGTTCAATGCAGAACAATTTTGTTTTCTATCCGGAAAAAACAAACAAAACCTGAATGGAAATATATTCAGCATTTTTGTGCAGAAAAAAGCATTTTCTGCACAGAAGTTAACACTGATTTTTTGTGTGTGGAAAAAATGCTGTTTCCTGTCAAAAATTACTAAATTTTATTCAAATTAATTGTATGTGAATGTTATGCAGAACAACTTCCCAGTTGCCAAAACCCTTCAAAATGACATGGTCATTGAAGACTTAATTATAGTGGGAAGAAAATTCACCCAGTGTCCCAAGATATGGCCTTATCTCTGAACCTCCTTCAACTGATCTACAATACATGACTGTACATTAGGGATAAGGAAAGTGTGTCCCATGGATCTCTTGTGGCTTCCTGAGTTTGTTTTTGGGACCTCCTAAACCTTCTCCTCCAGAATGGCCACAAATTATCTTTACAGGGTATGGGCGACGGGGGACAGGACATTTTAGTAAAGGTCACTTTTCAGTTAGAAAAAACAGCCTTCAGTGTCTTAACTCCCCATTTTGCTACTCTTGCTATGTGCAAAGCATGTTCAAAACTCCAAGATGCAATACAAATTCTATGAATGATGACTTATTATGACATTTAAGGTTGAAGCTGCAGATGTTGGCAAGGTGTACAAGATCCGAATTGGCCATGATGGGTCAGGCTTTGGGGACGGCTGGTTCCTGGACAGTGTTGTAGTCAAGAAGTTGCCTACGAAGCCGCCAAAGAAGAAGAAGAAAAAGAAAAAGAAGAAAACCCCAGCGGAGGAGGAAGAGGAGGAGGGGCCAGGCATCATGGAGGTGTATAATTTCACACCCTGCCGTTGGCTGGCAGGCGATGAAGAAGACAAGGAACTGGTTGTGGAACTGGTACCAGATGAAGGATCTGACCTTGAAGGTAAACTGGGAACATCTGGACTTATGTGATTTCCCTGTTCCTTAGTACCTCAGGGTAGTGGAAACTTTGGCATTCTAGATGTTCACAGAAGCCCCCAGCCTGCATTATTGATTGTAAAGGCTTCTTGGAGTTGTAGCTCAACACAACTTGAGGCATTAGCCTGGAAAAGACTACACTAAGGATCTATCCAGTTGCAAAGTTGAAAGACATTTTTCAGGCTCCAGTAATGTAAAGTTTAAACTGCATGTTATGTGAAGTTCTGCAGTTCTTCTCTTAACTTAGATAAAGTATTTATTTTAAATTGAAAAACATTCTAAGCTGGATACAGTCATGGAAACTTTGCATGCTGAAATTTCCTGTTTTGCACAAGTATTAAAGGTAGAGGAGCTCTTTGTCTTATATCACCTAGGAACCAGAATGGCAAGAAGAACATCAAATTGAGCATTTAATGGTTTCCTTTTCCTAGTTGTTCACTATGTAGTCCATGTCTTAACCGGATATGTTTGGGGAGCCGGGACTGATGCCAACGTTTATTTGAGTATCTATGGTGAAAGAGGAGACACCGGGGAGCGCCATTTGAAGCGCTCAAACCACTTGAACAAGTTTGAGAAGAATCAGGTAAGATCCTGGGAATTCCCCAGCATTGCCTAGAGGAATGGGAGAGCTCAAGATCTAGATTTATTTATTAACCAGCTGTCCCCTGCCATGTGTTGCTGTGGCCCAATCTGTGTATATGTGCTTTGTTTGTGTATAGATGTGTATAGATGTGGTTTGCAGATGCATTGTAAAGTATTTTTTGTTTTTTGGATTTTTAAGTCCCTTCTGCTGTGTTTTTCAGTGTTTTTATGAATGATGGTCACTCGTTGGCCTGAGAGGTGTCTTGTGTCCAAATTTGGTATCAATTTGTCCAGCGGTTTTTGAGTTATGTTAATCCCACAAATGAACATTACATTGGGTTGTTGTAGGTTTTCCCAGGCTATATGGCCATGTTCTAGAGGCATATTTTCTCCTGACGTTTCGCCTGCATCTATGGCAAGCATCCTCAGAGGTAGTGAGGTCTGTTTGGAAGTAGGAAAATGGGTTTATATATCTGTGGAATGACTGGGGTGGGGCAAAGAGCTCTTCTCTGCTGGAGCTAGGTGTGAATGTTTCAACTGACCACCTTCATTAGCATTTGAAGGCCTGGCTGAGCCTGGGAAATCTTTTGTTGAGAGGTGTTAAGATGTGCCTGTCCTCTCTGCTGTTTTGCTGTTGTAATTTTAGAGTTTTTTAATACTGGTAGCCAGATTTTGTTCATTTTCATGGTCTCCTCCTTTCTGTTGAAATTGTCCACATGCTTGTGGATTTCAATGGCTTCTCTGTGTAGTCTGACATGGTGGTTGTTGGAATGGTCCAGCATTTCTGTGTTCTCAAATAATATGCTGTGTCCAGGCTGGTTCATCAGGTGCTCTGCTATGGTTGACTTCTCTGGTTGTATTTGATGGTTGTGGTTAAATGAAATCCCAGGTTCCAGTTCCATGGATACTTTGCATTTCTAGAGAGGGAGCATTGCTATAGCTGTGGCTATTGGCACCAGATACAAAAACAAGAGTAGCTGCATGACTATTGTGCAATGAGTGTGATGTCAAATAGCATTACTCTTTGTGGGACAGGTTGCTTTTGCACAAAGTCAGAGTAAGGATGGAGGACAACAATGTCCTGCAGTAGAACCATTGGCCCTGGTAATCCAGAACAGAGGAGAATGAGAAGTCATGGGAGCTTTATACTCAACTCAGTTCTGTAATGCTCTGTTGTGTAGTGGGAGCCTTTGCTCTGCAATGCTGACATCTCACACAGTCCCTGTTAGGCAGCGGGAGCCTCCAGGACATCTTGCTTGTTGCACATTGTCGCAGTGCTGTTACAGCGTTGCTTATCATGTTAGCGACGTAGCTCTGTCATCATAAAGTTACGCACTGCAGCCCGTGATGCATGATCTCGGCCTCTGATTCTGGCACCCTGCTTTTCCCCAGGCTATTGTTTGGAAAATGTTCTTTCTACAGCAAATGTATAGTTGTCTTCAGAGGGTGTATGAAGGCAACAAAAATATAAAAATACAAAGGGTAAGCCCAAGCAACCAATGAAACCAGGATGGTAAACAGTAAACTGTTATTAACATTCTTTCAATAGAAAGTATCAAGCCCCAGTCACTTTTTTTCTGTGGTGACTTTCATTAGTGGGGTACTGCTCAGAATATAAGTATTCTAACAATACGACAAAGTTGAAGTACTTTGGCCACATCATGAGGAGACAGGAAAGCCTAGAGAAGACAATTATGCTGGGGAAAGTGGAAAGGTAAAAGGAAGAGGGGCCGACCAAGGGCAAGATGGATGGATGGCATCCTTGAAGTGACTGGACTGACCTTGAAGGAGCTGGGGGTGGTGACGGCCGACAGGGAGCTCTGGCGTGGGCTGGTCCATGAGGTCACGAAGAGTCGGAGACGACTGAATGAATGAACAACAACAAAACAATACGTCTTCACTGTTGGTTTGCCTTCATGTCATTTCCGGTTTAAGGTTGTAGCTTTCAAGTCCCATGTCAACTTAGTGTGAGCCTATGCTTTTAATACAGTTTTCTTATGCAAGGAATACTCAAAGGTGGCTTTTGCCATTTCCTTCCTCCAAAATATAGCCTACACCACCTGGGATTCATTGGTGGTCTCCTACTTTTTTAAACTATTTTAGTGTACATGGATGTATTTATTATGTGTTTTATATCATACTTGGCATTGAATTGTTGCCTGTTTGGAAGCCATTCTGAGTCCTTCCTCGGAGGTCAAGAAGGACGGGGTATAAATGCCTGAGATAGATAGATAGATAGATAGATAGATAGATAGATAGATAGATAGATAGATAGATAGATAGATATCCAAGTACTAATTGTGGCTGACTCTGCTTAGCTTCCAAGATCAGACAGGACCTGGTGCCTTTTGGACTGCCCTATGGCAAACCTATCATGGGGTTTTCTCTGCAAGATTTGTCCAGGGAGCATTGGCCATTACCTTCCTCCAAGGCTGAGAGAATATGTCTTTTCCAAGATCCCCAAATGGTTTCCATAGTCAAGTGAGAATCCTTTCATTACTGGCTGCTACTTCCCAGCGGATGTCAGGTGGTGCAATACTGACTAAACAGTGTAATTTCTCCAGTGGTGTGGGGCGTAGACATCCTGTGATAATGCAGCATGTCTCATTAAGAGCCACATCCACTGTTTTAGCATGGTGAAATGTTTTACACACATGCGTATTCAGCAACAGAGTAGCAAAGCGCAAGGGCAGATGTCTTCACTGTGTCTGGTTATGATCCCCAGGTTGTGCCTGTCAGCTTTCATATGATATAGAATCATAGAATCATAGAATCAAAGAGTTGGAAGAGACCTCATGGGCCATCCAGTCCAACCCCCTGCCAAGAAGCAGGAATATTGCATTCAAATCACCCCTGACAAATGGCCATCCAGCCTCTGCTTAAAAGCCTCCAAAGAAGGAGGCTTTTAATTTCTAGCACCCACTTTTTGCTTGATATTCAAGCTGTGCTTGTTGTAGGTTAGAGCATGGTCCAGAGTAACTTCCAGGTATTTTGGTGTGCTGCAATGCTCCAGGGGGAATCTTTCCCAGGTAATCCTCAGAGCTTGAGATGCTTGTGAAAAGCACATGTTTGTGTTTTAGATTGATTAGGAATCAGCTAGTTCTCCCTGTAATAGGCAATAAGAGCACCTAAAGCTTCAGTGAGCTTCTGTTTGACTGTTTCAAAGCTCCATGCTTGAGCGGTGATGGCACGATCATCAGCATAGATGAAGCTCTCTGTCCCTTCTGGCAGTGACTGATAATTTGTGCAGATGTTAAACATTGATGAAGCAAGCACGCTCCTCTGGGGCAGGCTGTTCTTCTGTCTTTGCCATCCGCTTCTCTTGGAAACAGTTGGCATATTATCTGCCGATGCTGTGTGTTTGGTATTGGGGGTCCCACTGATTTATTGCATTGTTGCACAGTGCTGTCACTCACAAACAGAAGGTCTGGGTTATATCCTTGGGACCATCTCCCACTTTTGTAGGATGATGGAAGCTTACTATCATGAATAAGCAATAGTTTATACAATTGTTTTCTTCAGTGTTATGGGCATTGCTGACTTGGAAGCCTGGTTTGACAAAGATAGTACTTCCATGCTTCGCACGTGGTCTTTACGCCACAAAGATCATTCCTGGGACTTTTGATCATTTCTGTTGTTTATTCCTATGAGTGAATAAAGTTTATTGCACTAGCCATAGGCCATGACATCAAAAACATACAGCCTTTATATACACATTAAATACAATCCAATGTTAACCAAAACCCGTTCAAGATTTAAAAGACTAGTACTTTAAAATTTTGCTGGCAGAAACCTAGCAAAAACCGCGTCTGGTCTGTGTCCTCCCTAGCCATCTCCCTTTCCCTATCTGGTCTCCAGCGAGGATTTTACTACTCTGTCTCTGATCTTTTGGGCTGCGATTGCAAATGTGGCTACTTTTAGTGTTATATTTTTGTCATAATCTGCTAGTAGGTCACCAATCACGGCAGGTTCTTGTCATGCTGCCCTTTCTTCAAGGAGTGTTCCCAGGAGATTTTTTCTGGGGTCGTTATACAAAGGGCAGTGTAATAGATAGTGTGTTAGATCTTCTTTTTCCCCGGCGCCACAAATGCAAAGCCTTTGGGCATGGGGGATCCCTCTGTATCTCCCTTCTAGCCAGTTTGAGGGCATTGTTTGGAAGCGCAGGGCTGTAAAGGCTTTCCTCAACGCTGCTGAGGTTAGGTCTTGGAGATATTGTTGGCAGTATTGGTCACTCTTTAGTCTGGGGTACCATATAGAAAAACCTTGCTTTTTACTAATCTCCAAATTGTCAGCTGCATCCTTCTCAAAGATTTTATCACTAATCGCCTTCTTGTCCAGCTGCATTAGAGATGTTATTGACCCATCAAAATATTGATGGAGTAAGGCTAGCCAGGATTGCACCCATCCACCCCGATTGAACTGTTCCCTCAAACATTGCTTTGCTATGCTCTCCTCCTCCAATCCTAGCAATCTCTTCCCATACGAGATGTTAAGCTTGTGCATTCTGGCCTTGAGTGAGGGAAGATCTAATTCCAGTCTTAGCAAGGCGGCTGGGGTCCCAGAGGGAAGGGCTAGAAGAGCTCTTGCAAACTTGTTCTGAATGCATTCGACCTGTTCTGCATTACCTTGCCCCCAAATTTCCGCTCCATATAACAGTTGGGGTAAAATTTTAGCGACAAAAATCTTTACTGTGGGACAAACTAGTGAACCTCCCTTTGTTTTTCCAAAAGCTAGGATTGCTTTCGCTGACCTCCAGGCAGATAATTTGGCTGCCTCTATATGGTTCTTCCAGTTACCGTTGTATGCGAGGTGTAAGCCCAGATATTTAAAACTATCACACTGCTCTATTGAGTGACCATCCAATTTCATTTATTTCGTTTATTCCTATGTGTTTCTTGGACACCCAACATATCACATTGCTTATCTTGGCACAGTTCATAAAGCAGCTGTTCTTTGGCAGCTGAAATGCTTTTAATGTTGATTGAAATTATTGACATACTTGGTCCTGAAAAGATCTGTTGGTTTGTTGCTTTGTTTCGTTGTATGCTGCAAGTTGCTTCTGATGTGAGATAATCAGCCATCTACAAAAACGTTGCCTAGGGGATGCCCAAGTGTGTTACTACCCTGCAGTGAGGCTTCTCTCATGTCCCCCATACAGTAAAACTGCTTTACATTCAGTTCAGTTTACCTTTATTTGTCTTAATTTGCTTTAAAGTACTGTATTTCAATATCAATACAGAGTTTATGGTAATAATATCAATATTAATAACTTTATTTATATCCCACCCCTCTCCCTGAAGGGACTTGGAGTGGCTTACAATAATGTGACAGTAAAAACAAAAATAATCATAAGCATATAAACAATATGCCACACCTGGAATATTGTGTCCAATTCTGGGCACCACAATTCAAGAGAGATATTGACAATCTGGAATGTGTCCAGAGGAGGGTGACTAATATGATCAAGGGTCTGGAGAACAAGCCCTATGGGGAGCGGCTTAAGGAGCTGGGCATGTTTAGCCTGAAGAAGAGAAGGCTGAGAGGAGATATGATAGCCATGTATAAATATGTGAGAGGAAGCCACAGGGAGGAGGGAGCAAGCTTGTTTTCTGCTTCCTTGGAGACTAGGACACGGAACAATGGCTTCAAACTACAAAAGAGGAGATTCCATCTGAACATGAGGAAGAACTTCCTGACTGTGAGAGCTGTTCACCAGTGGAACTCTCTGCCCCGGAGTGTGGTGGAGGCTCCTTCTTTGGAAGCTTTTAAACAGGCTGGATGGTCATCTGTCAGGGGTGATTTGAATGCAATATTCCTGCTTCTTGGCAGAATGGGGTTGGACTGGATGGCCCATGAGGTCTCTTCCAACTCTTTGATTCTATGATTATATAAATTAAATGAACAACCAGTATCAAGCAAAACACATAAAAGTAAAGTGAAAACATATTAAATATGGCACAAAAGACATTCATCAATAAATAAACATAAATAATACTTACATCGTACATCTCCAAACATTATTATGGCATGGCATAATATGAGGCATAGTCTTAGTTAGGCATTATAAAAATAGGAACTTTCAAGCAACCAGAAACTACATTTATCTGGCATCTTCTCATCCTCAAGAGTGCTGGTTAACTGAGTATGTCTATTGTACATGGGAGTAAGTTCCATTGAACTCAATGGAACTTACCTGCAGAGCAGACACATACAGGGTGGCACTGTGAAATGCATCTAAAATGCCAATGGACTAAATTTAGGGCTCAGATTCCTATAGAAACCTACAGGATTGCAGCCCAAGCTCTTGATGTTTTGCAGGTGGATACATTCAGTGTCCCAGCCATTGAACTCGGAGAGCTCAAGAAGGTACGGATTCGCCAGGACAACACTGGAAGCAACCCAGCTTGGTTCCTAGAGAGGATTGTGATTATTGACACTAAGGAGGAAGTCACGTAAGTAAAGAGATTATCACCCTGAGCTAATGCAACCCTTGGGGGCTGGCCAAATCAGCTGCAGTCCCTCTGAAATGCAATTTGTGGAAGTTAATTAGGTATTTCAGTTGATGGTGGCAATGGGAAGGTATATTTAGGGTGAACTCCAGGGAGAACATCATTAAAGAGCAATTTGAATGTGGAATCAGACTTGGCTGAGTGTTGTAAGGGATTCTGGTAATTGCAGCCCATACATTAAACTTTTTGTAGGTTTTTAAAGCTTTTCTATCTTTGATTTAAAAGCAGAGGTGTGAACTGTGTACTCTCCAAATGTAGTTGGACTCCAGTTCCCAATATCCCTAGCAAAGGTTGATGAGGAATATTGGGAGCTATAATTCCATAACATCCAAGGGCATACACAAATTCCCTCAACATATCTACAAGAATTGATGGGAATCATGCAGCCTTCCAGATGTGCTGGGACCACAAGTTTCAACACCTGTACCCAGATGGAGAGGAGGGTTTTGAAAAGGTCCATTTCGACTCCCTTGATGGGCTTAAATTTCTCATCTCATAGTTTACAGAAATGGTTGGATCTCAGGAGCAAAGGACCAAAGCTTAAAAGAAAGTGGCTTCCATGATTTCCTCTACTTCTTTCCTTCTGATACTTCAAAGGCAGTTATTTTCTATGCTGTGTAGTACTTATGACCTAATTGTAGACTATATTTCAACTCAATGCTTATTGACCTGCCCCTCTTATAGACTGAGTTTCAATCTAGAATGCAGAAAAGTCACTTTTTTGGGCTTCTTCCAGAATCCCCTGGCCACCTCTCTGTGTTTGGAGCTGTAGTCCAAAAACATGGCTCAACTCAAAATATTGTAATCTGGTGCTGGTATTTAACTTCTTCTTCTTCTTTGCAGTTATTATTTCCCATGCCAGAGGTGGTTGGCAATGGAAGAAGAGGATGGTCAAATCGCGAGGGAGCTGGTCCCAGTGGATGAAGCATTTGTGATGAAGGCTTCATCTGATGATGACTCTCTTGAGACACTTGGCCTCGAACAGAAAGGTTTGTGGACAGCCTTTTGAGAGGTCTTCTGTATTAAAGCTGAAAACGAAACACAATACTTTAAATAACTTTAATCACGAGGGAAACCTGTAGCTGTTATAATCGGGGTGAAACCAATGGAGGCCAGTGACTTTCCTATCAAATTGACAAGGAATTTGTTCCAAGCTGTAGTCTGAACTTTAAAGGAGCTGCCCAGGATGCCGAACTTTATGCCCAAATGAGTGTTAGGACCCTGGATAGCTCCATTAAATTAAATTTGAAACTGATTAGCCATCCTGCTGATATCAGATTTCCAATGTGTGACAGTTTTCAAAGTGTATAATTGGCCTGTTTCAGAACCAAAAATTGAATTCAGGGAAATTGAGGTTGAATTGGGACACTGAGCAGTGTTTCTCAACCTGGGGGTCGGGACCCCTGGAGGGGTCATGAGGGGGTGCCAGAGGGGTCACCAAAGACCACCAGAAAACACAGTATTTTCTGTTGGTCGTGGAGGTTCTGTGTGGGAAGTTTGGCCCAATTCAACAGTTGGTAGGGTTCAGAATGCTCATTGATTGTAGGTGAACTATAAATCCCAGCAACTACAACTCCTAAATGTC